TGAAAGTTTCATTTTTATCATTACATTATGGAAAATAATGACCTTTATCACTATATGCTAATTTTTTGAAAAGGACCTGTATGTTTGTGTACCTTGCATAACTGCATGAACCTACATTGTGCAGCACAACTCTGTACATTTTTTTGTCTTTACCTTACCCTGATGACTGTTACTGAAGGGAATCAGCCAGGGATACATTGTCCAAACAGTATAATGTATAATGATAATAATGTGTTGTCGTCATTGTATGTTTCCATAAAATGGTGAAATTGGCTTTCTGCATTTAACCCATCCACCCCAAGGTGGAGTAGTGGGCAGCTATTCAAAACACCCGGGGATAGTAGATGGTTGGACGGTATTTGGACTTAATGAGCTTCATGTGGGAAAGGCCGACTCGCATAAATAAGTGGAGCTGAATAATACAGTCAAGGAGGTAACACATTTCCTCATGTTGGGGTACTTTTCTTCTCTGGGTAAATTCTAGAACTGTCCATGAACCCTGACCTTATGTCAACTTGTAGTTTCCAAATCTCGTCGTCCACTCCAGAAAAGTTTAGGTGAACCAGTGTTTCAATCTTTGACATCAGTGAACCTCAGCATCTTCCTGAAAAGAGTAGCACATGAATGTAGTAATTGGCTCCAGTAAAACAAAGTCTTGAAAGCGTTTGTCACACTCTGACATACGGTTCTCATTCTGCTCTGTGTAACGTGCACGTCAAGTTGCACACATGCCTTCCATTGCGTCTCCAGCTCTGACGCGAGGTTCTTGAAGTTAGCCAAATCACAGCGCTGCAGCTTTAAGGAGCGATGTTGCACTGAGTGGATCGTATCGATCACCGTTTTGTCTTTTCCTTGCAGCTCTACATTAAGGTCAGTCAACATGTTGGTTAGATCAGTTAAAAATGCTAAATTGGAGGCTAACCAGGCAACTCGATAGCTTGCTAGGTTTTTGTGCAGTTGTATGCACATGCGTGGTGACCCACGTGTCAGAAAAAGTCACGTCTCAGACTGGCTGCCCCTGTATGTCAATCAAATAACTTTCATAGTGAGGATGGATGATAGGCTGACGTCTATTTCAATGCCATGCCATCTACCCATGATACTTTGTGATCGATCGGAAGATCGTGATCGACCGGAAGATCGTGATCGATGTATTGGGCAGCCCTGCCTTAGATAATATTTATGATACAGTTTCTGTACTTTTTGATTTGCCTGTTCAGGAAAAACAACTCTGATCAAAGCTCTGACTGGGGACAGCAGTCTGCAGCCCAGGAACCAGCTGTTTGCAACTCTGGACGTGACGGTCCACGCGGGTCAGCTGCCCAATCACATGACGGTGCTGTACGTGGACACCATTGGCTTCTTGTCCCAGCTCCCTCACATGCTTGTTGACTCCTTCTCTGCCACCTTGGAAGACATAAAACACTCAGTATGGAGCCAAACTTTTCTCCTAAACTAGTCTCAGCGGGATTTCAATTGTATGCACTTAATTTTTATTAGAGCTTAAAACTGGATTTAAAAAAATCTCATAGAGAAAAAATATTAACAGATTAAATTTTTTATTAAAACTTAAGTTTTGTTTTTTATTCTTGATATCCTAAAAGACAAACTTCTGGCTGATGTATGAGCTTCTACTGAATAGGTTCAAACTTTAACAATACAATTAACTAAAACGTCAAATTCCTTGAGAAGAAATGTTTCTGTGCTCGTTTAACCTCACCACCTTTCAGGGTTAGTGACTCGGTCATCTTTCTTGTGCTTCCAGGATCTTTTGGTCCATGTCAGAGACATCAGTCATCCAGAGACAGTGAACCAGAAGGAGAACGTGCTGAATGTTTTAAGGAACTTGCAAATCTCAGACCGGCTGATGAACTCCATGATCGAGGTCCATAATAAAATTGACCTGGTTGACAAGTAAGAGGTTAAACTTCCTGTCTGTGTGATGAATAAAGATCATTTCTGCCATCAAAAAAGTGCACATGTCCCCTCTGACGTTGGGCTTAATACTGGTTGCATGATTCCAGTAAACAACAAACTCCAATAATTACAAATCACAGCTTATTGAATGATCTCAATTATAGTGTACAACTGGGAAGACTGACAAGCTAATGGCTTGCTGCCGTTTTAAGTCAACTCCAAGCTCAAATGGCAGTTTTTGCTAAAACTGTTTTATAAATCTTTACACCACGATCATTCTCATTTTACACAGTTACTGTAATTTCTGGACTATAGGCCGCTTCGTTTTTCACATGCTTTGAACTCCACGGCTTATACAATGTTGCAGCTAATTTATTTATTTATTTTTTTTGACAGGCTAACAAACTTCATGCATCCAAAACATTTAGCTTTGTCACACCCGGACGCTCACATTGCTGCCCAATACAAATGTTTCTTGGGGGGTGGGTCCTCGTGACTCAGTAGCTATGTTTACATGCGCAACATTTTTTGACTGGATTGAAATGTTTTCAGATTAAATAATTCAAATGTATCGTTTACATGGGCACAATCTGTTCATGACAAGCGTTTACATGCAGCGGGCTTTGTTCTGAACAGCAGTACTGACATGTGCAGAGTGGTAAACTCTCCTTAAAAAAACACAGAAGAAGAAGTTCTACTTCCGGGATGAACGTAAACAAACCTGAGCGCCCAAAATGAACCTGCGACAGGTTTTAATGATGGTGGAGACGTTACTGCACTCCCTGACTGAGCTATAGGTGATACAGATCATTTTGAGCTCTTTCAGAGTTTCTAGTAGAAATGTTGTGTCGCTCACCGACCAGTTTTACTTCCCTGACATGCTAACATTATTAGCATTAGCCAGGCGGAAATGGCAAAGTTGCACATGCGCAGTCAGGTCAGTTTTTCCACCATCAGATAAAAACGAACAAATGTTTACATGCGCACCGTTTGGGTTATGAATCGGCGTAAACCACCCGTTTCATTCTGATCACAAATCATTTCGGATCACGCTGAAGAAACAAAAAATAACCCGAACGAGGTGTTTACATGACACATTTTTGTTCCGAACGGCCGTTTGATCCGGTTACTTATGTCCATGTAAACATACCCAATGAGACTACCTGTATAAGTAAAGGTTAAAAAAATCTGACCAATGAAATTACCAAACAGGTCACAGTGGACCAATGAAGCCAATGGTTTCATTGGTCCACTGGGGAGGGGGGGAACAAAGTTTTCCCTCCCTCCCATTCTCTATTTTCTCTCCTCCCCTCCCCGTTGTGCCCACAAGGAGAAGGAAAACGTGATGAAGACGACAGCACAAGCTCATGGGCGCAGTGCGCAGCGTACATGTCCGTGGTGCGCAGGAGGAACATTAAAGTAGCAATCAGTGACTTCTTGGTAGGCTACTGTAGTTTTTGTAAGCCAGCCGTGTTACACCCACTGCTCTGAAACAAACAAACAAAAAAAAAACATTTACTGTACCTATCTGTGTATGTTACTGATACATATTTAATTAAAAGTTTTTAAAAATCTTTCTGTGTAAATATCTCATATTACAATGTGGACACCTGCGGTTTATAGACAAGTGTGGCCTATATATGTACAAAATTATTTTCTTTTTAAATTTAGTGGACGCAGCTTATATTCAGGTGCACTCAATAGTCTGGAAATTATGGTATACACATGCAATTCTGTGGTAATTTGTAAACATAACTTGAGTAGCTGCAGCAAGGTGTTGCATTTCCAGGGCATCTGAGGGTCATTTGAAGCAAGAATTTCTTAACATTTCTGTCAAAATAAGCATGTGATAAAAAAAACTGATGATGATGCAAAGGTCTCCGTCTTGTCAAAGCTCCAAAACTCACAGTTGAAACTTGTGCCTTCGTGTAAAAAGTTGGTTTTCTTTGCAAAAAGAGGCTGAGAACTTTACTGATTTTTTTATTATAAGCTTTGTGTGAAAAATGCTATGCTAAAAAGCTCAAACCACACCAAGTGTCTGCCATTTTGAGAACCGAAGAGAGACAGCCTATGTCACGTCAAGGGGCCTCCCTCCCATTTTCTTAGAGACACGCTGCTCGCTCCCTCACTATCCATCCTTCAGTTCAAACAGTCATACTGCCATCCACTGGTCAAAAAAAGGTACTACAACAAAACAATTACCAACATTTCTTCTTAAATTTGACAATAATTACTAATTGTCAAATTTCAAACAATATTGTTTATCACAATAATTTCTGAGACGCTTAATCGCCCAGCAAAATTTGTTATTGTAACAGGCCTAGTTTTTAATTATTCTACTAAAAGTTGTTTGACACATGAAAACACCAAATTACCGGTACTTAAAATATTTTTTCACCTAAGGATGTTGTCATTATTTTACTGGCGCACTGCATTCTGCGGCAGTGACGTACATCGGTTGTTGTGGGGACTAAAACACAAGGCTAAAAGTTGCAGCATGTGACAATAAAGTTACACTTTGCATCAGTCCTTATGCACAATATATGGGTCACAACAATCAGACATGATTTAACGTTATTGTATTAGCTGTGATGTTAACACCATGTACATTTTCTCTGGTGCTAACACAAAAGCGGACTCATTTCTGCCTCTGACAACATGCTCAGATTCAGATCAAAACGCTGAACATCAGATAATGTTTAAAAATAACCTTCACGCTGAACGGCGTACCAGAGCAACATGTCTGTCCAATACCCAGAATGCATTGCAGTGTAAATAAAATGGCAATGTTTGTGTGTTATTAATTTACAAAAATACAAACAGCCAACAGTATTTTTACGGTGTTGATTTTAGAGCTGAAGTAATTGTGTATGAAATAAGGTGTTTTGTTGCAACTAGTTGAAAATCCCTTTAAAACTGTTTCAGAGCAACTCAGTCAATGCTATTTAAATTTTTACACTGTCAGTTTTTAATGACAGATATTTCAGCAGAAATCTAACCGTTCCTGCTTAGGCTGCATCAGAACAGCTACCAATAGCTGCTGCTGCTAATCTTTTGCAAATGACCACAGAATTGCTTGTAATGTAAGTTTGATGACTCTTTAAAGGCTCTTACAGTCAAATGTTTACATGAGCCAATAAGAAATGTTAGAATTGCACCTGTTTTATGACAACAACAGTCCACTTTTGGCTTAACTCTGTTTGGACTAGCCATTAGCTTATCAGTCTTCAAAGAGTTAAACTCTATTCTCTAAACTGAATCAGTTCAAAGGATCATCTGCAACAAGTAAGATATTAACTTTTGACAAAAATCCACATCAAAGTGATTAAACTACCGTCTTTAATGTGCATATTTAGTTATCAGTCTGCAGAGCCCGATGCGTTGCTCGTATCAGCAGTGGAGGAGCGCAACCTGAACGTGCTGAAGAAAACCTTGGAAGAAAAGATTATGAAGTCCACGGGGAAACAAATTTTACACCTGAAGGTCGACCTCAGCTCTCCTCAGTTAAGGTGAGATTCTAAAAACGTTTGTCTGTCCATAACTCCAACCCTAGCCTTGATGTAAACGTGCGTCCTTTTTACAGCTGGCTGTACAAACAGGCTACGGTTCAGGACGTGCACGTTAATGCTGATGAAGGCACAGCTGTTGTCAAGGTCATCATCAGCGCCGCAGCTCATGGACGCTACAAGAAAGAGTTTGAAGGCAGATGAGAGCTTCACACAGAACAATGGCCGAAAAAATAAATCTGATCCACAAAGCGTTTAAGAAAATACTGTATTCACTTGGCAGTACTGGAAAAGATTTAATTTACAAATGTGTAAAGGAATAAGTTTTTGTAAAATATATTCATTGCATGTCAATGTTGATACAAAACAGTGTTCTAAGGTGAAATAAAAGAAAATACAGTTTAAAATTCAAGAAAGACAAAATTTCGTATCTAAAGAATCTGAGAAAATAAAAACAGCTGAGTTGGATCGTTTAGAATCACTTTTCATTGATAGAATTATAAAAACACTTTTATTCATCTGGCTGGAGCTCCTGGGCCTTAGTTTGTGGTTCGATCACTGAAGAACAGCGTGGGAGTGGTCCCACAAAGTCTTCTGCTATAATGTTCAGGTCCGATCCAGGTGTCTGCTGCTCCACCCACTTCCTCAAACACTCCCAGCTGCTGTAGGTCAGCATCCGCAGGGATTCCCTCAGGTTTTTGGTGATGTAGCTCCTTTCTTCTGTGAGATTCAGACCAGCAAGGAAGAATCCCTCTGTGGACACGGAGTAGCATCTCTATCTAAATATGCTCATTGTTTCAGTTTTACATGAATAAATAATACTAACTTTGTTGGGACGCAGTGGTGTAGTCTACAAGCTATGCAGGCATACTGAGTATAGCCACTAGAAAAGCTTTAGAATTTCAGTATACCCACTTACAAGTGCCCAATGATACGTGACATATCATTGTAAGTTATATCACGTGTCATTGATATTTTGAACTGCAGTTAAACACTTCCGTAATAATCTGTCTGTATGCAGCGCTTGTTTATTACATTCTCTTATCCAGCACAAACTCCCCCCCCCTGCTCCTCTCTCTGTAGACGATCCCCTCCTGTTCACTGAGGCTCACAGACATTGGCTGAGCTCAAGTTCACTGCACAGCTCACTGCTTTGACTGGTTCCTTATCCAGCTGCTCCTGTTTGACTGGCTGGGGCACAGCTGCTGCAGGAGCTCAGTCATTGTACGTGTGCAGCAGCCGCCACATGATTATCATGCGTTTGTGCAGTTACTTTAAACAGCTGCTGTTTGGAAATGACTGAGTTTTCACACCTCTGGTTTGTAATAGTTTGAAAATATACCAAATATTGTTTCCATAAAGAATTAAAAGTGATGTTAAACACATAAATTCAAATTATTAAACTTTTAAATTCATAGGATTCTGATTATCCCATAACCTAGAGTTCATATCATAATATCATAAGATTTCAAGAATCTGGAGAGTTGCCTGCAAAGGACATGGCTGAAGGTCAAGAATGGGCACTTGTAAACTTCAGGCCTTTGGGCGCAAACAGGTCTGACATCCCTGCATGGGCTCAGGAGCACTTTCACAAATCACTGTCTGTAAACACTGTTCACCGTGCCATCCATGAATGCTGCTTAAAGCTCAATCACACAGAGAAGAAGCCGTATGTGAACACCGTCCAGAGGTGCCATCAACCTTTCTGGTCCAAAGTTCATTTTAGAAAGGACCGTGGCAAAGTGGAAAACTCTTCTGAATTTAAAATAATTTTTGGAAACCATTAACACCAAGTCTTCTGTACTAGAGGATGGGGACCCTCCAGTCTGAAGTGCACAATTTAAACCCCTGCCTCTCTGATGGTATGAGGGTGCATTAGTTCCTATGACATGGGCAGCTTTTGCATCTAGAACATCAATGAAGCAAAGTATATAAGGTTTTAGAACGTGCTCCCATCCGGATGGCTATTTTCTTAAGAAAAGGTCTTAAATATTTTAGCAAGACAATGCTAAACCTCATACTGAGTCCATTACAGCAGCTTGTCTCTGGAGGGAATCCAGGTGGAAAATCTCCCAGCAGCCGGTCTTCTCAGTTCATGGGTGATTACAGACTGTTAAAAAGGAGGAAACATGTCCCTGTCTCGACTTGTCACTGCCATCAGATTCAAAATTACACCCCTTCCCAAGTAATAGTTTCTTAGTCTAAACATTTGATAAGTTTACTAAGTCCTACTGTGAACAAAACCAGGGTTTATGAGTTTTGAAAATCATTGCATTCTGCTTTAATTTACATTTTACACAATGTCCCAACCCTGTCAGATTATACGTGCAATCTATAGACCAGATGTGGACAACTTGTACTCTGTGGACCAAAAGTGGCCCTTGGACAATCTTCATCCAGCCCCCGATATCCTTAATTGAAAACAACTCTAAATAATTCTAACAAGGTTGAGTCAGGTCCTCTGACTGAAGAAGTCTTTTGGATAAAAGACAAAGCGTCTCAACAAAGAAGAATCTGTCCAGAGGACCTGACTTAACCTGGTTCCATTGATCTACCTGGATTATTGATCATGCATTAGGAAACTTAAATAAGATTTAAAAACCTGCATTTTATCAATGAAACAGAAGGAAGTCCAAAAGAAGCATCTTGGACAAATATACTGAACAAAAATATAAACACAACACTTTTGTTTTTGTTCCCGTTTTTCAGGAGCAGAACTCAAAGATCGAATACTTTTTCTGTGTTTCTCTCAAATATTGTTCAATAATTTGTGTAAATCTGTGAATAAAGGTGTGGCATATCAAGATGCTGATTAGACAGCATGATTATTGTACAGGTGTACCTTAGGCTGCCACTCTAAAATGTGCAGTTTTATCACACAGCCTGATGCCACGGATGTTGCACGTTTTGAAGGAGCGTGCTGCAACATGGGGCGATGGTCGTGGATGAAAGGCACAACAATGGGCCTCAGGATCTCATCACGTTATCTCTGCATTAAAATCTCATCAGTAAAATTCACCTGTGTTTACTGTCCATAACGTACGACTGCCCATACCATAACTCTACCGCCACCATGGACCTCTCAGTTCGCAAACCACTCACCCACACAATGCCATTGGTCTGCCATCTGCCCTGTGCAGTGAAAACCAGGATTCATCCCAGTAGAGAACACCTCTCCAACATGCCACCGTTGAATGTGAGCATTTTGTCCACTCGAGTTGGTTACGACGATGAACTGCAATCAGGTGGAGACCCCGATGAAGACGATGAGCAGCAGATGAACTTCCCTGAGACAGTTTCTGACATTTTGTGCAGAAATTCTTTGTTTGTGCAAACCAGTTGTTGCAGCAGCTGTCTGGGTGGCTGGTCTCAGACGATCTTGGAGGTGAAGCTGAATGTGGAGGTCCTGCGCTGGTGTGTGTGTGTGATCTGCAGTTGTGAGGCCAGTTGGACGTGCTGCCAAATTCTCCTTTGGAAATACCTTTGGAGATGGCTTCTGGTAGAGAAATGAACATTCAATTCACGGGCAACAGCTCTGGGGTACATTCTTTTAGTCAGTATGCTGCACACTCCCTCAAACCTGGAACATCTGTGGTGTTGTGCTGTGTGGTAAAACTGCACATTTTAGAGTGGCCTTTTGTTGTGGTCAGCCTACGGCACACCTGTACAATAATAATGCTGTCTAATCAGCATCTTGATACGCCACACCTGTGAGGTGGATGGATTATCTTGGCAAAGGAGAAGTGCTCACTAACAGATTTACACAAATTTGTGAACAATGAGAGAAAAAGGCATTTTGTGTACGTAGGAAAAGTTTTGTGTTCATATTTTTGTTCAGTGTGTACATCAGAAACGTTTGGATTAGTCTAAAGAGCATCGGGGAGAAATTTTTATCAAGCATGCTAATTGCTGCAAGTGACGTAACCTTACCCAAGTTATAAGCCATCATTTCTGACATCATTGAGAAGCTAATAGCCAATAGCTCTTGGGTGAGTTTTACCACAGACTCCACTTTATGGACATAAAGTGTTAGCTCTGTTAGCATGATTAGTCTTACGACACAATGGATAGAGAAAAACTTTGAACTTAAAAAGTCTGTCCTCCATGCACAGGAGTGCAGAGGATCCCACACTGCAGCTAGGAACCTGGAACAAGCCTCCACAAGTGAGACAACATCACATGTGACTAATGCTAATAAATAACATTCAACGCTTTTCATTTAATATAAGTTAAAGTGCTATGCATATCATATGGCTGTTACTGAATAAATAAATTAATAAATTTTGTAGCAAATAAGCCTAAATGAAAGGGCTATGTTCTGACAAAGGAACATATATAAAATATTGGTATCAGATATCTGCCAAAAAATACAATATTGTGCATCCCTAGTATCTGTATTTTCTACTACACTACATTTCTATGTTTTGCGTTACAAGTTACATTCACGTTGCGTTTTTTTTTCTTTTTCCGTTAGTTTGAAAGTAACCAATGATGAGGGGAGTTGGTCCATTGAATCACTGCAGAGTGAGCAGGTAACGTTAGACCCGCCTTCAAGAAGAGCTGGACCAATGACATATATTCTAGTATATACGTCATGGAGCTGAGCGCACCCGCAGCACCACTAACACACCCAAAATGGATTCAACCGCAGAGAGTCAGCCAGAAGATACACGCCACCCATGGCCTTATTGAAAGATTATTGAAAGATTATTGAAAGACTATTGAAATATTGTTGAAAGACTGTTCAGTACAGCAGGACAGAATCTCTCTCCCAGAATAGCCAGACTGGATTCAAAAAACTTTGAAAACCAACTTCTTCTGAACTTGAACAAGAAATTCTTGCTTCAATATTAAAATGTTTCAGTTCATGGGATGTTAGGAGACAAGAGATGTCTAAAAATGTCTCGACACTTGGGTCCAAGTTTTGAAAATGGTGTCAGGAAGTTAAAATATTGTTCACTACTTACCCATTACAAGGTTGAATAGACAGTATTTTAACTAGATGATGACAAACTGGAGCTGAAATGATCAGATATTCCTTTGTTAGGTCTAATGTCACTTTTTTTCTGGCAGACAACTTTAGTTAAAATAACAGATGGGTTTTACTTTGTGTTAAATAAAAACTTTCAAAGGTATAATCATTCCTCTTTCTTATTTTCTTAATAACATTTAACTCTGCAGGTCATCCCTGAAATTCTGATGCACAGAATCACAAGTCCAAGTGTGAACTGTGTCACCGAGTAAACACAATAAAAACATGTATTATCTGCAACATTGTTCATTAAAATGACTCAACACTATTAATGTATTACAGAAAATATACATACAGTAGATACACTTAATGATATTGTAGACCACTACGTTAGTAATACATTCAGCATGTACTTTTACTTTTAATACTTTATTATTATTTTTAAAAGCAAGTACTTATTTACTTTTACTTAAGTAAAAACATTAATGTGGTATTTCTACTTTTACTAGAGTACATTTGTGTCTCTTTATTTGTACTTTTACTTAAGTACAGTATTTCAGTACTTTCTCCACCACTGGACTTATGTCACATTTTATAGAATTCTAACCACTGACAACTACTGAACAGCAAATTAAAGAGACAAATACTGTGCTAACAAAAAAGATACTATAGATTACCTAGAAAACCAGTACATAAACTCTCCTTCAGTTTGCTTTTAGTGTGTAGTTTTTGTTGTCTAGTACCTCTTAAGTACACCCATAAAAATGGTGTATTCTGCATTGCATAAGCTGCACAAGATCAAACCTAAACATTCTCAGAAAATGAACCTGATTTGGAGGCAGTATAAGTGCTGCTCATCTGTTGATTGTTAAATATTTTGCAGCTCATGGAGACCAGAACTCTGTCTATGGCACTTTTTCTAAGTAAAATATATATAGTTGAATCAGCAAGAGGACTAATAATACTACAAATTAAAGCTGCATGTGAGAAATTGATGTTATCTCTGGCTTCTTTAACCAGGCAAAAAACAATGATAGGCAGGAACAGAAGTGTGTAAATAAGCAGCACCACAACCAAAACTGCAACAATTCGTCTTTTTTCATCAGAAGGGACCTTGATGGCAGTCGACAGAGCTTTTAAGGTTCCAGCCAAGAAGAAAACAAAGAAAGGAAAAGGGAGGAGGAGAAAAACAGCAGTGATAATACGTCCGGTCTCAAAACCAACTAAATATACGGTAAGTCTCAAAACAAGGACAACAGCCCAAACCCCAACACAGAGTGCCACAGCATTCTTAATGCTTCGTCTGAATCTGTACCATAGCGGCTTGGCAAGGACCAAGTACCTGTAATAAAACATAGACTTAGGTAGGGTTTAGAGAGCATTTTAAATTCATTTTAAGGTCTTAAACTAAAATTTGACAGACTGGCATAACAATAGTTACCTTTCCAGGGAGACACACACCATGAATCCAATACTTGCCATAATGCCTAAAAGGTAGGTGTGCATGATGATTTCACGAGATCTTTGTGTTGTTACAGTTATTAATGTTATCATGCTGCAGAGCTGAATGAGATCAGAAAAAAGGAGGTTGATGATGTAGACTGGCGCAGCATGATTCCTTTTTGTCTGAAAAAATAAACAAAAAAGTAAATAAATGAAAGTAAAGGCAGAAAATGCATTCTGAAATTCACCTAAAATGTTATGTTGCTTGTGCCAAAGATTCCAGTCAAAGTGTCTTATACAGTATTTAAGGACCAGACTGACATGTTCTGTTTGAACCCAGGGTGCAGACAGATTCAGGGAACGTGGGGGTAAAATAAAGAATAAATAATGAAATATATATATAAAAAAATGCAAAAACAAAGGCTGATGTGGCAGAAAAACTTGCAAAATCAAGGAAACATGGCTGGACAGGGCATGAGGAGCACAGAGGAACAGAGCATTATGGCTGTGGGAAGCACAATCCACAGACAAGGTGGAAACACAGAGATGCTGAACTTAGGGGCCATTTACACGGCACATATTTTGAATGAAACCACATGGTTCTCTCTGCGGTTTGGCTGTTCATTTACATGACACCAGTCGTCCCTCTTTTTGAATCCAGAGGTTTTTCAACCCACCTCTCAGGGTGGAGGTTTTTGGCTGACCGCCTGCAGAGGTCTCAATTGTCTCCAGCAGAGTAGTGAAAGCACGTGTCCACTACAGGCGTATATTTCATGCACGCACAGGCCAACAGCATATTTCTATCAACGACAATGGTGCTGGAGTATAACATACTGCTTTTTGTGCTACACCTGGAATATATTTTGAGTTTCATAGTTAATCTATGCCGGAATATAGCTGCTGTGACCGACATCTGTGTTGGGAAGAGTCGCCAGTCGGATTGAGTTTGAAATTGCTGAATGAGCCTGTCGAGGCAAGCGGACATTTCACGTGTCACGCTGGACTATAATTTATTAAATGTGCTTATCAATCAACCTTTATTTCTACAGGTAAATCCCATTGAGCCTCGAGGACTCATTTACAAGAGAGACCTGATTTCAACAAAGAAAGATGACAACAATGGACAACAGCAACAACAATAAACAGTTATAAGAAAAGCATACTACAGTTTTTTTTTTTATAATATTTTTTTGCTTAATAATAACAGTAATAATAACAAACAGTATTTCAGTTAATAGTGGAAGATGTAATGAAGCTATCTGATGACGGGGGACAGGACAGCCCCCAAAAACCATCTTATCTCCAGCAAATGGGTTGGTCCACTTAAGGAGTTTACTGCTTTGTGGGGAAACAGTTTACTTGGAGCTCCTCAGACTGATGAAGCCCTCCGGATAGAGGGTGAAACATCTCTAGAATAAAGAAACTGTCCAGATGACCTGACAGAGCATTACTGGATCAGTTGGTTGTTGTGTAACCAATGTAAGCACAACAGCTACTGATTTAACACTGGAGTAGAAAGCCCAACATCATCCTGGTCAGTGCTGGTTCACTCAGCGGCTGGTATCGAGCTGTTAGAAGAAGCGGTCCGTTTGGCGTCAAATCTGTCGACTCGTATCCTAAATCCAGCTTTAAGTTTTGTTGTTGTTGGGCTTTCAGCCCAGAGGAGAGTCCTTATGGAGAGCAGTCCCAGGCAGCAGGCATGCACATTAGGTGAATGTACACAATTCACAGTGCCAACTAATGACCTGGCATGGCAACTACAGCGGATTCAGGAGGAGTTATCCAGGGGCATGTAAACACCAAATCCATTCTGTGTCAACCCTGATTTTTTTTTTTTCTCTAATCAACATCTGAAAAACCCACATTTTCCTCTGCCATATCCGTGTAAATAGGTCCTTAAAAAGACACTAACAATAAACACCTGGTGTAACTGGGACTGGGAACAGGCGAAGCAGGAGCCGGCAACATGAAGGGAGAAATACTGTGGAAGTTGGAAACATGGGGGAAAAAAGACTCGGAGAACTAAATAAAAATAACCCCAAGTAGACAGAAACACCACAAGACACACACAGACAAAACATATCATACAAAGAACCACACGAAACATATGCTCGATATCTGTAACTTTAGATGAGTGTTAACCACTGTTTTGTGTTCTTTAACATCAGTTGTCAGTGCTGGCCATCTCAGTTTGGATCGACTCCTAAAGCGAATCAGTTCATCATGAATCGGTCTCAATACCTTTAAAATGATTGAGTTATTAATTTTTGTGTTAGCCATGCTCAATTTGCTGTGGTGCCATCTTAAATCAGGAATCCAAAAATCAATCAGTTTTAGATGTACATCCAATGATTACTTTCAAAATGTTTATGTGAAATTTATTCAGTTGTTCACGAGATATTTTGTTAAAGCTAGAGACACTTCAACACTAGTAAAAGTATTGCTTTTCCTTTGCCTTCACAGCATGTGATAAATATACTGTAGGTAAATGTCATACAGTACTCACCAGAGAAAACGCTGCAAAGATAGCTAGTAGAGTCACAAAAAGTCCAAAGCAAGTGACAGTGATTAGCGCCACATATCTGAAGCCACTGAACTGGATGTATTTTTTATAGTTGTCAGAATTCTCACTGACATCGCTGTTGTTGCTGTAGCCTTGGTCATGTGATGTGTTACTGATGTGTAAATCTTCCATTCTTCAGTGTAAATCCTGATGATGGAGTAGAAGAGAAAATGGACGTCTGTTGGTTTATTATCATCTTAAATGAGCTTTGTACACTGCTGTGTAAATTCTAAACATGAAATAAATAAATCCAAATAATTATCGGTTTAGTCGTCAGACTATGTGTTCATGTAATTTATTATGCCGATGCTATTGGAAGAAGCCCTTCACTTTATTTTTTGTCATTAATAAATCACAGATTGCAGCTCTTGTTCTGGCTTGAAAATATTTTTAAAATGGACAAAATGTGTCATTTCAGCTTTGGATTCAAGTACTGGTAGTCCTTTTAAATCACATAAACATATTTACTAAGGATGATGTACAATTTTAACAAAGCAGAATACATTGACTAAAGAAAAATATTATCAAACCAACAGCAGAATGAAATCTTATTGTAACCAAATTAAAAAAGGATTAGTCATTTCATAAATAAAAGGAAATAGTAAAAATTTTAGAAGCACATATTTTACCTGTATTTCGCAAGTTTGAAAATCAGATTCACGCAATCCCAGAGAAACTTTGCAAAGTCCGTTTTGCTATTTGTGTTACTGGTGACCTAGACTGGAAATGCTATCGTTTGAATGACAAATATGTATCAGCTGGTTGCAAAAAAACTGATCACTCCATTAATGTAAGTTGTTAATGCAGTGGTTTTGTTGCTTTATTACAAAATCATCTAATGAGAAAACATCATGAATAAACAATGTTTCATAAAGCCTAATGGGTTGTATAATAACACTGCCCTTTTAATCTTTGTATTTTTCTTTTTTATAATGGAATTGTGCAATGTAAAGCACTCAGTGGTGGACTGTCAACAATTCCTTCTCTGCTGGCCTAAATATTCAGTGATCACAATGCAGCGTTACAGTGAAAAATGAAGGCGAAGGGAAAACAAAAAATGGAACAAAACAAAACCAGAAAAGCATAAAAGGCAAAAAAAAAAAAAAAAAGACCAAAAGAGAAAAAGCCAAAGAAAAAGAAGCAGCCAAAAAGCATAGTTTTATGCTTGCAGTAAGGGTGTGCTTAGGGCGGTTAGCACAGGTGAATCCATTTAATATCTTTAATCCACTTTTTCCTTTTCAGGTCATGGGGAAGCTGGTTCCCACTCCAGTGATCGTGCAAGTACTGAAGATTTTTATTATTCCTGGTTTATTAACTTACCAGTGTTAGTTAGTTCCCCAGTGTTTCTTTTGTGTCACTCCTGCTCCTGCCCCACCACTCTCACCTGTTGCCTGTTGTCTTTTCTCCAGGTGTTTATCATGTAGCTCATTGTTTTCTTTATAATTCAGCTCCTTCTGTTACTCTCTCAGTGGAGCCTTAAATATATAATAATAATAATACAACAAAGTCCATGCTCAATAATCCAGGTATACAATCCAACATTTTTCAGTCAGGTCATCTGGACAGTTTCTTTTTTTGTGCTGAAACGTTTCGCCTTCGACCCAGAAGGCTTCATCAGTCAAGGAAACACACAACAAAACTGATCCTTCCCTCAACAGCTTACTCCAAAGTGGAACAAACCAGTTTTGCTTGTGATAAGATGGTCTCTTTGGTATGCCCCCTCCTCCACTGCCGGCCCTCTTCCTTGATGACAGCCGTGTCAAACTGGTTGAAAACAACAAAGTCCATGCTCAATAATCCAATAACCCAAAGAGACCATCTTCGCACCAACATAACTGGTTTGTTCCACTTTGGAGTAAGTTGTTAGAGGAAGAATCAGTTTTGTTGTGTTTCCTTGACTGATGAAGCCTTCCGGATTCAAGGCGAAACGTTTCAGCACAAAAAAAAAGAAACTGTCCAGATGACCTGACTGAAAAACGTTGGATTGTGTACCTGGATTATCGAGCATGGACTTTGTTGTTTTCAGCCAGTTTGACACGACTGTCAACAAGGAAGAGGGCCGGCAATGGAGGAGGGGGCGTACCAAAGAAACCATCTTATCACAAGCAGAACTGGTTTGTTCCACTTTGGAGTAAGCTGTTGGGGGAAGAATCAGTTTTGTTGTGTGTTTCCTTGACTGATGAAGCCTTCTGGACCGAAGGCAAAATGTTTCAGCACAAAAAAAGAAACTGTCCAGATGACCTGACTGAAAAATGTTGGATACAATAATATACTCTTTCCATCCGCCTTGTGTGTACTCCCTGCTCCAAGTGTTTGCTATTTTTATACAGTTTGTAAGTCAAGTTAGCTGTCTGAAAAACACTTTGCGTTTTTAATAGTTTAATAAATAAGTAACTTTTGCCCAAGTTCCCAGAGTTGTGCTTGCTATCTGAGGTCCCCTTTACACGGACACGGTGAGGGGAAACGTAGGGGTTTTTTTCGGATGTTGATTCGAGGAAAAAATCCGTGTTGACACAATGCATATTCGGTATTTACATAAATCTCACAAATCCGCTGTAGTTTTCATGCCAGGTCATTAGTTGGTGCTGTGAATTTTGTACATTCACCTAATGCACATGCGCGCTGCCTGGGACCGTTCTCAGTAAGGCGACTTCCCTCTGTGCTGAAAGCCAAGCTAACAACTTAACAACAAGTTAAAGCTGGATTTTTGATACAAGTCGACAGATGTGATGCCATTTGGGACCGCTTCGTCTAACAGCTCGACACTGGTCACTGAGCGGACCAGAACCGATGAGGATGATGTTGGACTCTGATGATCAGTTAGTCGTCAAGCCGATTTACAGCAGGTAAATAAACGTTCTTAATAATGTTTGCTTGCATTTACTTTGGATACACAGCAACCAACTGAGTTTTTAATTTTTATTTTTCCTGCGAGGAGAAGCTGTCCTCTCACCAGAGGGTGACCAGTTCTGAAAGAGAGCATACATCTCGGCGGTGCAGGAGAATGTCGAAGAGAGATGTTGGAGCAGCTATTCATTTAAAATTCCCCTCAGTTCTTTTTTCCAATTCATTTCATGTTTTAAGCTGCATTAAGCAAAAGAGTGACAGCCTGTACAAGCCAGATAAACAACATGGCGCCAGTATCCAGGATGACAAGAGAGGAAGAGTCCAGTTCATTAATGTAGTTTACAGTTCAGCTAACATGTTTTAATAGTGTTCAGTTTTGGGGGTTTTTTTTATCAGTGTTTTTGTGGCATACAGTTTGTGGTGTTAAATAATAAAAAAAAACCCTTATGTCTTCATTTTCAAGTTTAATAACATGCAATCTGTTTTGCATCGTTTAAATTACACAACTTGAATTACATAATGTCCAGATAGCTTCATTACATCTCTCAACACTAAAAGAAATACTGTTGATTATTGTTAAACTGTTGTTATTTAGCACATTTAGTATGTTATAGTCCAGCTCGATGCGTGAAATATCCACCTGCCTTGACAGACTCGTTCAATACATAGAGATATTGGAAATGGATCCGACTAGCATCTCTTCTCAACACAGATGTCGGTCACAGCAGCTACATTCCGGCGCAGATTAACTACGAGACTTAAAATAACATATACAATAACAATAACCAGGCGTAGCACAAAAAGCAGTATGTTATACTCCGCCGCCATTGTTGTTGATGGAAATATGCAGTTGGTTCGTGTGTGCATGAAATATACGCCTGTAGTGAATATGTTTTCACACCTCTGCAGGAGCTGTTTACATAACAGCAGGTGTCTGTCTCAAAAAAGTCCACTATGAAAGGTGGGTTGAGAAACCTATGGATTCAAAGAGGGGGGCGACTGGCGTTGTGTAAATGAACAGCCGAACCGCAGAGAGAAAGGTGGGTTTCACTCAAAATATGCACCGTGTAAACAGCCCCTGAGTTCCAACCACCCTCTATCCATCGTGATGAAAACAAACAACCATTCACACTTTCTCTCACTCAAAGAATTTTTCTATCTTGTTAAAGATAGAAATGTTAACATTCTAACAATTGATGAGAGTTTTATCAGAAGATGGAAAAAGTACTTTGAAGAGTTAATGAAAGATGGGTATGAAAGGGAAAGAAGAGTGGATCTTATACAAGCTGTGGACCAGGAAGTGGGAAAGATTAGTGAGGATGAAATTTGGAAGCTTTGGCTAATGGATGCAGTTTGAGTGGACATAGAGGTAGTTCAAGTGAGGACAGAGTGAGATGGAGGACGCTGACTCACTGTGACAACCTCTTAACACAGGGTTCCCAGCATTTCATGAAAACAAAATGCCTTGAATAAATCATGACATTCCCAGAAACTGGAAAATTAGAAATCCATCCATCCATCCATCCATCCATCCATCCATCCATCCATCCATCCATCCTCTGCTTATTCTGAAGTCGGGTCGCGGGGGCAGCTGCTTGAGCAAGGAGGCCCAGACATCTCTTCCAGCTCTTCTGGGAGGACCCCAAGGCGTTCCCAGGTCAATTTAGAGACAGTCTCTCCAGTGTGTCCTGCGTCTTTCTCGGGGTCTCCTCCCAGTTGAACATGCCCAAAGCACCTCCCTGGGGAATTCTTTACAGTGCCCAGGAAGCATCCTTTCCAGATGCCCGAACCACCTTAACTGGCTTTTTTCGATGTGGAAGAGCAGCGGCCCTATTCTGAGTCTCTCCTGTATAACTGAACTTCTCACCTTGTCTCTAAGGGAGAGTCCAGCTACCCTGCGGAGGAAACTCATTTCAACTGCCTGTATTCGCAATCTCATTTTTTTGGTCACTACCCAGAGTTCGTGACCATAGGTGAGAGAAATAAGACCGACCTGTAAACAGAGAGCTTTTTCTTATAGATCAGCTCCCTCTTCACCACAACGAACCGGCAGAGAATCCGCAATACTGCAGATGCTGCACCAATCCATCTGTCAATCTCATGCTCCATTCTTCCTTCACTTGTGAAAAAATCCTGAAATGCTTGAACTACTCCATTTGAGGCAGAGCCTCACTGACAAGAACTGGATCTAGGATCAGCGCACAACACCAAACAGAAGGAATGATTTAAACAGTTTGTTGGAAAATAGCTGCTGGTAGAGTTTCGGGTCCAAGGGGGAGTCTGAT